TGGAGTGGTAGCTTTCCATCTTTAGATGCATTGTTGCCACCAAAATCAACATGTTTGGAAGGGTGGCCATGCAGCGAAGCAAGTGTCCCGGAGTCTAAAGGATTTCAGGTCTGCATTCTGGCCTCTGTGCCTCAGGCTCCCCATCTGTAAAATGGGACTAGGAATAGTGCCTGGCTCGTTGAGTGTTCTGAGGGTCCTTTGAGAATATACATAAACTATCTCTAGAAGAAAACAAAGGAAACTGGCTACCACTGGAGGGCTGCTGGTGGGCAGTGGGGAAGGAGACTCAGGTTTCACCCTTTTGAACTCATGCACATGAATTCGCTTATTCAAGAAATAATTTTTTTTGAGTGAGCTTTTGGGTTTGTTTTTTCAGAACAATACCTGGTGCTCAGTAAATATTGGTTATTTTTATAAAGAAGGTTTGGTATAGGCCCCCCTCCCCACCTGACCTCAAACCATCTCTTGTCCCCCAGCTTCAAGTCCAAGCATAGGCTTCAAACCCAAGATGCAGACTTGGGTCCCTGTGTCTCCCACTTAGCTGTGTGGCCTTGGGAAGTTGCTATGCCTCAGTTTCCTCAGTTATAAAAGGAAATTAATGGTCTCTACCCCACCAGTTGTCACCAGGATTTAATGAGATCAGAGCTGAAACTGAGTGAGCACTGGGCACAGGCCAGGCACGGCTCCGAACACATTACATATATGGCTCATGGCATCTGCAGGTGCCATTATCATCCCCATTTTATGGATGAGGAATTCGAGGTTCTGGGCATTGAAATAACTTGTGCACAGTAACTCAGCTGGTAACTGGTGATGCCAGGACATGCACCAGGCAGTCTGGTTCCAGAGTCGGTGCCCCTAACCACCACACCTCCCTGCCTCTGCTGTGCATGTCACGTATTTAGAACACGGGGCACACGGAAACTGCTCTGTAAATTACAGCTGTCATTGTGATTGATACATGCTACGACCTTTCCCAGGCCACTTGGTAAAACATTTGGGGGCAGGCTATTTGACAGCTCACAAACACCGTCTGGGGGCAGTATTTAGCGGCGCTCACCAAGTGGGAGGGATTCTTGCCTCAGTCCTCCCACATGTATACCTTCTACAGCCAATCCTCATTAGTCCCAGGGCAGTCAACGTACTCCTCACCCCAGCTCCTCCTTGCTGGTCCTGGTGGCTTTAGACACCACCCCACAGACATCCCCCAGGGAACCGAAGCCCAGAATCCACCTGCTGAAGCATTTGTAGCAAGGCAGTTACAGACACTGTCACCTGCCACCACCACAGCCAGACAGCTTTTAGACAACCTACTGCAAGGGACAAGCTGTTCCTTCTTTCTGGTCAAGGGGGGAGTTTTCGGGCCTCCACTCCACCCAGACACTTGTAATAGCCAACTTTGTGCTAATGACGACCAGGAGGGGGTTACCCCCACACATCAACTGGGTTGGGCCTTGGCTTACACACAACAGGCCCCCCACACAAACACACATACACACGCCTGTGCACGATTCAGAATCGACACCCAGCATTACCCCACCAGAACCCAGCTGAATGGGGGGTGATGGGTCCAGGCCACCATGAATAACGCACCAAACAGATAATCTGCTTATGAAGAGTGGAGCTTGTTGTTAATGTCAATGTCTAAAGCCATTGACTGAAATTCCAAATAGATTTCCAAGGGAGAGAAAGGCTCTCCTGGAAAAGCAGCTCATGCCTCATTTCCCATTCTCTGGTTGTCCGGTGAGAAAGCACACAGCCATCCACACACCTTCTGTGGTTCCTTCTCTAACCCCACCCCGACCCCCAACACACACATCACACCCGGGAACACAAAGGACCGTGACTGGGAGGAGATGTGAGCAGAAGGGGTTTCAGGAATTCAGCACCCCTCCCCCCCTTTCCCAGCCTCAGTCGTGAACTGCTCTGGACCAGCCAGGTGATGGGAACAGCTTTCCTTTAAGGTTGCGATCCAGCTAAGGCAAATCCAGATCTTTTGGAAATGTTCCTCCCACCTCACTCACTTCTTCTTCCTCATGGAGGCCGGTCTAGAAATCACGGGGCTTCATTTTCTCCCAAAGAGATGATTAAGCAGCCCCATTCCTGCCCAGCTAGGGGGGTCCTGTACCTGGGAAGGTCCTGCTGCTGATGAAAGGAGGCCTTGCGTCCAGCACAGCTGAGGACATCCCAGTGCCCATCAGCGGCTGGTTATGACAAAACTCTTCAGGAGAGGAGGAGGGCTTAATGTGCCACACCTGCAGGCACAGGTCCCCAGCCACATCCTGGGCGAGACCCAGGAGAAGTAGAAGAGCAGAGGCTCAGGACAGGGCCAACCGTTTAACTGTGAGAGGAGGAAGGAGCCTCAGGTGGGTGGACAGGGTAGGGAGTAGGAAGGGAGGAGGGTGGAGGGAAGGGAAACAGACTGGGGTCAGAGCAAGAAACCGCTCTCCCCTACTCCCCAGGCACCCAGGGAGGCCTGGGGCCACCTCTGGCCTTGAGGCGGACACTTAGCTGTACCTGGGAGACATCTGCCACAACAGAGGCCCTGCCCAGAGCCCAGGACACACCCAGAGCTCCTCCCGCCATGGGTCCCCTGGGGGTCTGTCTGACACACTCCTCAGGAAGCCTACAGTTAGGAGCAGCAGGCTACAGCACATCCGCTAGGATTCTTGTCCTGAACAGTGCCCATCTCCCATGGGAGGTGTTCAGCAAATACCTGTCAGCCTAAAGGAACTGTTCTTACACTTGATCTTAGCCAAAAGGCCGAGAAGTGATAAAGGAATGGTTCTTTATGAGAACATGATCACAGACAAGTGGGTGCTCATAACAGGGAGGGTGGGGGATGGGCACTGGGAGCCTGGGCTGTTGATGTCCCCAAGAGTGGAGAAAACGGGGGAGCGAGGACTCAGGGCTCTGTTACCTGTATCCTGTCTTCTGGCAGCTCTGTTTTCATGGCCAGCATCTCCCGGGCATAGACATCTGGGTAGTGGGCCTCGTTGAATGCCTTCTCCAGCTCTTCTAGCTGGTAGGAGGTAAAGATTGTCCTGAGGGGAGCAAAACCAGGACACTCAGGACCCCGGAAACAGAATGAGCCTGTCCCAGAGAGGATAGAATGGCTCTCTGTCCGTTATGCCTCCTGCACAGACCCCACACCCAGGCTGTCTCAGCACAATTGGACACACACTCACACACACTCACACACACACACACACACACACACACACACACACACACAGTCATAGCTTAACCCTCAAGACTCTTCTTCAGTCATGACTGAGGGCCCACACTACGCTTTTCGCCGTGCTGAGGATTATTTCAGTCCTCAGTGACATTTCATACTGGGAATCTTTCTAGACGTGCTTTGGGGGAACGGGTATTAAGACAGAAATGTTAGAAAACTGCCGAAAGCCCCTCTTCCTCCGCTCACACACAGGGTGAGGGTGCACCAGGTAAATAAAGGCCTCAGCCCCCCTGGGCTCCGCGTCCCTTCCTGGGCTCCTCTCACAGACAGGACAGTTGATCTTTTAAATTGCACTCAAAATTCGAAGACTCTCCGAAAGGTCAAATGTAGCTGCAACCTCAGTGTTTTTACAACTGAGAGCTGAATTTCCCACACCCTCAACCCACCCCAACACTCCACCTTCCTCAACCCCCAGCTCCATCAGGTCCTCAGAGCCGCCCTCAGAGACTAGGCTGGGGAAGGTGAGGGAGAGGGTCCCCTGCCCCCTCCTGTGCTCAGAAGGCAAGGGCTATCTTTCAACCACCCCCTACCCCCAACAGGCTCAGCTGCGCACCCAGAGGGGAGCCTCATTCAGGGGAGTTCTACTCAGGCCACCCTGAGACACCCTATCCACACAGCCCCCCACCCTCACAGAGCAGTTCACCTTGACCTATAGTATTTTCGGTCAAACTGCTTTAAGAGCCTGGTAAAAGCTACATTCTCTCACCCTAGGAAAATGAATGCACACGAATGCGTTCCAATACATACAATTTTGCCTCCAATATTAGGGGGTTCATAGACCTCCACCCCTTTTCTTGAATAAACACAGTACATTCCCACTTCCAGATACAAATTCTTCTATTTCCAGACCTTAGTTTCACAAAGCTTTAGGTGACTTTTATCCAGCATCCTCATCAACAAGCCAATAGGCAATAGAGTCTAGATTCCACGAACTTGACTTGTAAAAGTGGTACCTCCCTTGCTTGATTTGGGATTTGGACCCTGGGAACAGCACAGGGGTTCAGAATCCCTCACTGCTGCCCTCACACTCACCCAACATAAGGAAAAAGGACAAAGTTAAGTCCCGCATTTTCCTTGTGCTGGTGCTGTCAGTATGTCAGGGTACTATGCTGGGGGCCATGTAAGGAAGAACAATTCTGCTCTTTATAGAAAATGACTGATTTGAGTCTAAATAATTTCTCCTATTGTCTTGGAGGGGAGAGGGGTGGTGAAATGCTTATGTAAACAGAAGAAAGTGAATTCTTCAGAATTTAAAAAATCTGCTGTTTCTGTTTCTCTCCTGCCACTTACTGAAAGTCTCCTGCACAGATTGTCAAAATACACACTCAAAACATGCAAGCCCTTTTCAAAACTAGGGAAACTGAGGCACATAGGTGTTGTGGCCAATGCTAAAGGAGGGAGCTGACCGTAGATCATTTTAAAACCATTCAAGTGCCAGCCTCTGCTTGGGAGAATTTGCATTCAAAAAAGAAAACAAAGCCTCAGATCCCCGAAATTCCCCTCACTTCTGCCTCAGAGCCAATCCATGTTTTGATGCTGACATGCTTTCCGGGGAACCTCCCTCTGCTCCCCCAGTGTGACTGCAAAAAGCCTGCTTCTGGCTTCCTGCAGATCCTCAGACCTCTCAGGTTCCCTTTGTATCCTGCCTGAGCTTTCCGGGTAAAAGAGAGGAGCGACTCCCAAGGCTGCTGGCCCATCCTCTCTCTTCTCTCCTTTCTCCAACCCCTGCTGAGCCCAGTGTGTTTCTGGGAAATAAAGAGATGTCCATCTCTTGCTACCAGATTCCAGGATCTCTTACCTGAAATCCCCAAATGAGAGAATCTCAGGGAAACACACTTTTTTTTTGGTATTAATTAAAATCTGCACCGGCAATCAGGAACCATCCTCCTCTCTCCAATAATCTGCTCCCTTCATGCACCAGATAGATCCAGACACCTAGGGCAGGTGGTAAGTTGTTGTCCTGTCTCCCTGGGAACCCTCCAAAGCTCCCAAAGTTTTCCTTGGCAGAGAGGGCATCCGCTGAGGACAGAGGGTCAGGAACCGTAAGGCTTTGGGCTATGGGTCAGCCCGTTCCCAGTGCCACACAAGGAGATGTCCCGATGCAGAAAGACTGCTAGGGCACCCAGGATTTGGGGGATGCTTTTTCCAGGTCTATGGGAACCCCATTCCTGCGCCAGCACAGAAGCAATTCAAAGGGACTTGGACCTGCCTTCCTTCCAAGGTCTGGTCCATGTCCCTGGTCTCCAGGCTGTCAGGATTACTCATCCTAAAACCAGCATGAGATGGGTGCATAAGAGGTTTTTTAAAAAATGAATATTCATTGAGTGAATAAATGTGAAAAATGACCCAGGATCAGGACTAAAAAATTGTTTCCTTTTAAAGTAAAACAAAACAGACTGAACAAAAACAAACAGCTGTCTGAAGGGAAGGAATCCACCCAGGTCTCTGAGACACCATGTCAAAGTACACCCTCCTTCAAGACTGAACCTGTGAGGTCAGGGAAAGCCCTTTTAAAGGGGGGTTTAATAGTGGAGTTTCTAAGGGCCAAGGAAGAGGGAAGCAAAGCACTGAGAGAGAGTGCCAAGAGGCTGAGAAGAAATTGGAGGAAGAGGATGAGGTGGATTGGGGAGGGGAGGCGGAGAGGTCCCTTGTGGGTAAGTGTCCCGAGAGCCAGCAGGACCCTGGGGGCGCGCTACCTGGATGTGGGCAGAGAGAGAGGTTTGGGGGAAACAGACCCCGGGTGAGCTCAGGGACAGCGCCTGAAAGCAGCACTCGCAGACAGGGAGATTTTTGGTTCTTGCTCCTCTATTTCTTTAAAAAACTCCTCGTAAATTTACACAAGGAACTGGTAGCGCTTGTGCTGATGTCCAAGGGCGTGCCCGCCTGGGGAGGGGAGATTTCTTTTCAGGATATACCTTTTGGCACCTATTGAATTTTAACTTGGTGCGAGCAATGTCTATTTAAAGACGTATTTTTAAAAACTCTCTCTTTAGTCTGTACCCCAGTGCAGCCTGCTCCACTCCAGCTAGGGCTTGGTGGGGTCATCCAGTCCACACATTCCGCTCTCTCTGTCCATTTTACAGACAAGGAAACTGAGGCTCAGGGAAGGAAAGTGATTATCTCAGGATCATAAAAGAGCAGAAGACTAACGAAAAATTTCCCTCAATGCAGATGTCACGCTCGAGATTCGGGGAACGGTGGGAGCAGAAAGCGAACGGGTTTCCAGAGCAGACAGGGACCTAGGCAGAGGGCAGAGGGCAGAGGGCAGAGGAATCGGTTTGGGCTGCAGGTTGGGAGCCGAGCTGCCCGCCGCAAGGTGCGCTTGGCTCTCAAATGTGCTGATGCCGGGATCGCATCTGGGGGCCGCCAGCTTCTCTCTGGCTCCGGCTTGGCCCTGTTTGGAGCCTCTCCTTTTTCCCGAAGGAGGAGAAAGCCTAAAACGGTTCCGCTCCCCCGGCGGTCGCTCATCATCCTCTCCCGGCGCAGCCGGATACCAGGGCCCGGGCAGATGCCGCCAAAGAACGCCCGCGCTCCCTGCCCTTGGACCTCAGGTCTGGAGGCGGTGAAAATAGGGTCCGAGAGATCCGACCCCCTAACAGGAGCTGGCGAGATGGGTGGGTGGAGGTGGGGGGGGGCAAGAGAGGTAACAGAAAGCAGCGCAGGGGCCTTACCTGTGTCGCCGCTTCTTTCGTTTCTTGGTCTGGTTTAAAGCCGATTTGGACATTTTTCGATCGCTGGAGGAAACATCTTCAGAATCTGAAAAGCAGGCGGAGGCACATGCGGCAGAATCGGGGCTGCTGTGCTGGGCTGAGCGGGAGAACGTCAGGCGCCCCAAACCCACTAGGGCCCCACCGGAGCCGCCTCCCGGAGCGGCTGGGGCCTGCTCTGTCTCTCCGGGAAGGCCTCCGCGAGGTCAATCCCATCCCTAAGCCCAGACTGGCCCTACGCACGCCGGCGCCCCAATCCGTTGGTTTTGAGCAGATTTCGTTGTAAGAGAGTCTAAGGCCCCGGCGCATTTGCGGCAGGGACGGTGGGGGAGCTCGGCAGCCTCAGGGTCTGTAGCGGGGACCTCCGGTGGCACTACGGGCTCCGCGTCCTACTCTGCTTTTGCAGCCCCAGCTCCCCTGGCCCGAAAGTTGGCCCCAAGGAGTGGAACTGGGGCTCAGGGAGCTGGGCTCCGGTAAGGGCTGGGGGCTACCGCCTCACAACCCCTTTTTCAGTGTCCGCACAATGCGCCCCCGCTCGAGACCGGAGGGACCGCGACGCGACACTTTTCGTTGTTCCTCCAAATAAAAATAAATACATAAAACGGTAACGAAAAATCGGGGGAATTGCGAAGCGCCAACAAAAGCCGGAGGCCCAAGCCGGCGGGGACGCAAGGCCGGGAAAGCGGCCCCGGAAGGGAGCGGCGGGGTCATCCAGGGGCCCCCGAACCCCACCAGGCTCCAGGATCCGTTATATTGTGGCGCTTAGGTGCGATCAGATCGTGGCTGCGTCGGCCGCTGCGGTGGCCCAGTTGTCCAAGCTCATGGGATGAAAAATAAACCCTAGCGGACCAACGCGGGTAGTTTGGAATGGAAAAAAGGAGGAAAGAAAAGACAACTTTGGGCACCCGGGCCGGGGCCGAAGCTGGCACCCGTTTCCCCAGCCGCCAGCGCACAGCACGGAAACGGGCTCCGGGAGCGTGGGTCCCCCGGAATGCTGGGGTTGCAGCGGAGCAGCAGAGCTGGGAGCAGCCAGCCCGCCCCACGGGTTCCGACACCCCAAGCCGGGCCCAACACCGGGAAGAAAGAACAGCGCGGAGACAGGAAACGCTGAGGATGAAACCGCGCGGGCGCGAGGGCATCCTCCCGGCCCTCGCCCCCGGCGCGCGGGACCCAGGCCCGGGCCTGGCACGAACTTTTGCGTGCGGAGGAGGCCTTGCAGTGCAAGCGAGAGCCGACGGCGTGGAGTCCCGGCCCTCGCCCCAAGTCAGGTAGCCACACAGACTCGCCCTCACCTACCGGAGCTAGCTGTCTGGCTGGTGTCCAGCGGCCCCGACGCTCTGCCCAGCGGCTGCAAGTGGACGCTCTGCGGATCCGACAGCACTTCCAGGAAGGTGGGTTGCGCGTAGAAGCCGGGGAGCCCCCCGGGCCCCAGCAACCCCATGCTGCCCACTCCTGCGGGACTGAGCACGGAGCGCGCCGCCAGTAAGTGCCCGGGGGCCAGGCCGTCGAGAGCAGCCCGTGGGTGGGAGCTGGGGGGCTCCTTGTTCAAGCCCAGGATCTCCTGGATGCCAAACCCGGTGCACCTGGCCGGGGCGCCCCCCGAGGTACTCTTGGCCACTGTCTCAGATTTGGGCTTGCTCAGCGCTTCCCCCGCTTTCCCCGTCATTTCCCGGCTCTTTGGAGGGGCCGAGGCCGCAGGTCTTTTGCTCCCCCCACCCCCCCACCGGGTTCCCCGCTTCGCGAAGTTGGTCCCAGGTGCCCCCTCCGGTGTCTAATGCTCTGGAGCCCCAAGGAGATTCCCCTTTTATCCAACCAGGCGGCAGCCCAAGTGGGGTCAGAGCTGAGCAGCCAATCACCGGGGCCAGGAGCGATTAGGAATTCCAAAAAGCTGGTAGCTCCCGCCGCAGGCAGCACCAGGGGCCAGGGTGCTGGAGGCCAGGCACCTGGTGAGCTCTGCAGGAGGCCCACGGACCAGGGATCCCAGGGGCTGAGCTGAGACAACAAGTTCAGGACAGTTCCAGGAAGCAGGGTGGCTTGGGATTTTGGCCAGAGCCTGGCTGGGACGTGTCCCTGCGGTGGGGTAAAAGGATGGCTGAGGGCAGATGCTAGAGACAGGAAGTCCTGGTCCCTCCCTCAACTTCTCTGCAGGTGGGCAAAGTCAAAGAAAGCCCAAATATGGGACCCCTGTGCCAAAGGCAGCACAAGGGAGGGGCAAGTGCCCTGGGCAGGGTGTGTGGTGGCAATAGAGAGACAAGAAGGGGCCAGGGTGTGAAGAAAGCTCAAGGCTTATCCCCTAGTTCGGAAGAGCTACTCAATAAATACTGGCCCAATGAATGAATGAACGATAAAGGGGTCAGGAATAGGGTTCCCTGGTGGTGACTCCAGGTGGTGACTTCACCTGGTGGTGAAGAAGAGCCATGGTGACTTCTTTTGGAGAACAACCACGGACATCTGAACTTCTTCCTAGAACAAGCAAGAAATGTGCCCACCTTCCTCCATTGAAGGACTTCATTTATTCTTCCATCCATTCATCCAAGTCATATGTATTGAGCACCTTACTAGGTCCAGGAGTTAGGGGTTCTGCAGTAAATCACAGACCAGGCATGGGGCTGCTGGGGCCTAGGGTGGGGAGTGCTCCCCAGCTTCTACACGTGGCTGCCTTCCTGGAAGTGCTGTCTGATGCCAGTGTTTCAGAGTTCACTGACTAAACAGAATAAAGAGGATGGAATTGTTGATGCGGAGGGGGAGAGAGGTGGGAGGGAGGGCGTGAGAGGTAATTAAAAGCTGAGCTTCTATCCATAGTTGATGGGTATCTCTTGACTAACTCCTGTGTTGGAAGCTGCAGAATTGAAGGCAACTGGGCCAGCTGAGAGGCAGGGAGAGGCAGCAGGAAACTGCTTTAGGCAGGGCAGGGCCCTCACCTGGAGAGAAGAGAAAAGCCTGAATTCCAACGGTGGGCAGTGGTGCTACTGATTTCCTGCTTGAGGGCTCTGGAGGGAGCATGGCCCCCTTAGGCCCAAGTGTCAAGTGAAGTTGATCACACACACACACACACACACACACACACACACTTACTCACCGTGGACCCCTGAGTCCCTGAACTCCACCACCTCAGCTAACTCTTCTGTGACCTTCTTGGGACTGGGGACTGTCTTATCTACCTTGGTGTTCCCTTCTCCGCTGTGACAAGCATACAATAGGTTTTTAATAAATATTTCTCGGCATGAAGTCACCCTGTAGGGGGAGATAAAGACAGGGTCAGCTGCTTTAGGCAGAGACTGGAGAACCAGGCTGGGGAAGAGTCCATTCAGGATTTCTTGGCCAGTCAGCTGCAAACCCCAATAGAATGACTCCCCCCCACACACAACTCTCCCCAGCCCACTGCCAAGGAGTCTAACTCCCTTTGTGGTCAACATGGTGGCCAAACTGAGAGGTAAGAAGAGACCCTATAGGACATGGAAACTGAGGCCTTGCTAACAAAGCTGTTGTGAGGTGGGTCTCTACTCACTCCAGCCTGGTCCACACAAGAGCTGGAACTAGGCAGGGGCATCTGTCAGTGCAGGCGTTGTTTGGGAGGGGTGTACTGTTCACTCCAGGGGCTGCCTCTTTATCCCATAATAATGCCATGCCTGCTGTGCACCTATGTGGCCCTAGTCCCTTTACATGGCATAATCTCTGGTCCTCACAAGAAACCCGTTAGCAGCAACTTAGTTCTACATCAGAAAGTTAGCATAGCTGTTCTTACTTGCAAGGAGCCAGCCAACTCAGGGAAATGCAATCTCAAAGCATCCTTCACCTTGTAGTCTATGCAGTTGGGTTCCATGTGGCACCACTCACATATACAACAATGTGAATGGTGGCCCCCAGAGTTGTGCAAAGCTGTGACTTCGCTTCCAGATAATTGCTATCCCCATTTTGTGAATTTGGAAACTTAGGTTCCCAGAGAGGTTAGGTAACTTGTCCCAAGCTACCTAGCTAGTAAAGCAGCAGAGGCCAGACTCAACCTCAAATGAGTCTGGTGTCAAAAGCTGTTTCTTTTGACTCCACCCTTCTCCCAGCCTCTTCTCCATGCCAGCCTACCCTGGAAGGATGAATAAGGATGTTATGTTAATGGCATCTGTCATGTCCCTGACTTATCACGGGACATCCGCGATGAGCCAGATGCCAGCCGACGGGCAAGGACGTGAGTGATGGAAAACAAGCACGTGAGCGATGGAAGCTCAGCTCTTGCCAGGAGATGAGGATGAAAAATCTCTTGACTAAACCCTGTGCCTGAAGCTGCTAGTTTCTTCTCCCAGGAAGACAGTTACCATCCTGTCCTAGGAGGTTGGGGAAGGGGACAACCCCAGGCCTTCTGAGAGGCATCAGGTGGAAGGAGGGCCCAGCATCAGCTCACAGCCAGCCCCACCCTTGGAACTGGACTCCTGACAGACTCCTGGCTTGGGGGCTGTCTCTGCGCTTTGGGGTGTCATTGTTACTACTCCACAGCTGCCCACCTTAGTCCAGACCCAGACTCAAGACATTTGTGGACTCTGAGGGGTGCCCTACAGGGAAAGCCAGGACCCAGAGGCATTTAGCTTGGTCACACTGGATCCAAATCCTGGGTCTGCCCCCTAACAGCTCTGTGGCCTTGAGCCAATCATTTAACTTTTCTCTTAGCTTTGATTGTTTTACCTATAAAACAGCCTAACACCGAACTTGTGAGCATCCCCTGACTCCCTGAGATAGCATAAGGGTCAAGGGCATGGACTCTAGAGTCAGACTACCTGGGTTCAGACTCCTGCCCTATCACTTGCTTAGTGACCTTGAGAAAGTTGCCCAGCTTTTTTCTGCTTACTGTGCCTCAATTTCCTCATCCGTAAAATGGAGGATAATACTAGTACCTACTCCTTAAAATTATCATGAAGATTAGGGCTGGCAATATGGTAGGGAACAAGACAGACCTAATCCCTGCCTTCGTGGAGTTTGGGCCAATGATAGAAGGAGGTGATGTCTGTAAAGCACTGAGCATGGTGCCTGGCCTTGGGGATTCAATGTGTCATGGCTTTACTAGTATTATGAATGGGTGCCAGACCCCTTATCACATTTAATCCACTCAACTTCTTTGACAGGTCAGGACTTCTGTCTCCCTTGTTAAAAAGAAGGCTCAGGGCCTTCCCTGAGAAGGGAAGAGAGCAGGGATGAGAGAGGATGCTATCTCCCTCCTTGGCCTTAGTGCTGGTCATTTTTAGCCCCAGTCATGTGCAGTCATGTCACTCTCCCCTGCTAGCTGCCTCCCTGAGTCACTGTCCAGCCACCAGTGGCAATTTTGGGAGGGCAGGGGGTGTAAATGCAAGGAGGAGAAAGGACCTGTGTTTGAATCAATAACCACATTATGAATTTGTCATCCATGACTGTGTCTCACTTTTTTTCTTTTAAAGATTTTATTGGGGAATTGGGGAAGGGGAACAGTGTTGGGGAATTAGAGAAGGGGAACAGCCAAGTTGTTGTCCTTCAATCTACGTTGTGAGTTGTGGGGGGCACAGCTAGCTCAGCTCCAAGTTCAGTCGCCATCTGGCTGCCTGTTGGCAGCTCATGGCCACTCAGCTCAAGGTGCCATGTTCAATGTTAGTTGTGGGTAGGCGTAGCCCACCATCTTATGCAGGAGTCGAACCGGCAACCTTGTTGTTAGGAGCACGTGCTCTCACCAGCTGAGCCATTCTGCCACCTGTTGGCAGCTCAGCGGTAGCTCAGCTTGGGTGCAGCTCACTGGCCCATGTGGGTATCGAACCGGTGACCCTGTTGCTCAGAGCTCGCGCTCTTAACCAACTGAGCCACTTGGCTGGCCCATGTCTCTCTTTTTTTTTTTTTTTAAGATTTTTATTGGGGAATTGGGGGGATGGGAACAGTGCTGGGGAATTGGGGGAAGGAAGGGGAACAGACAAGTTGCTGTCGTTTTGTTCTTCAGTCTAGTTGTGGAGGACGTTGCTTCACTGGCCTAAGTTGGCACCATCATTGCGCTCTTCCCAGGCAAGGCAGATCAGTCGCCGGCTTCTGGACGGTCGCTCACAGCGGCTTGAGGGCCCCGCACGCTGGCTGCTGGCTACATATGGTGGCCCATGGCAACCCACTGCCACAGGGGCTGCAGCCTACGCTGCTGGCGACTCACGGCAGCCCAGCTCCAGGTTGAGCTGTTGTTCAGCATCTTAGCTGTAGAGGGCAGTGTCACTGGCCCTCATATGTGGGATCCGAACCGGGGCCCTCTGGTGTCCCAAGCCAGCTCTTAACCATCGCGCCACTCGGCCGGCCCTCTCTCTTTTTTTTTTTTTTTTAATGCTCCTGTGTATTTGGGGCTTACCCCTTGAGAGTAAAGCTTCTTTTGTTGTGTTGGACATTTCTCCAGAGAGTCTCCTGAGAGAGTCCCAAAGGTCCTGTTGTCTCTTCCTCTTGTTATTAGACATCAGACCAGAGAGTCTGTTCCCTTCGTTCAGTAAAGGAGTAGATGCTGGGAGAAAAATGAGAGGGATTTTGATTGACATTTAACTTATATACAATGAACATTTATGAGCTTCTTGACTTTTTGGCATTGTCTCAATGAATCCTCCCAACTACCCTGAAAGTTGTGTGTTTTTCAAATGAGGAAGAATGTCAGAGAAGCTAGGTGACCTCCCCAGGAACATGCAGCTGCTAAGGACCAAGCAGAGTCCAAACCCACTGCCTTGTTTCTTGAAGATGAAATCAGAGCCTCAGCAGAGGAAGGGACCTTGGGTATAGGGAGGCAGATGATGCCCCACAATGCTCGAGCTACCATCCTGCCCACTGAGAGTGACGGAGAGGAAGGGCAGGGCAGCAGAGGGGGTGGGAAGGGCTGCTGACCTCAAACACCCGGGCCTGTCTCCTTCTCCTGTTTCTCTAAATAGTAATCTAGACCCTTGCACTTTTCCTGAAGGGCCCCAGGGAGTGGGAGGGAAGGAACAGACTCTTGGCAATGCCTCCAAGCCAGCCTTGTCGAGGCCCTGTCTCCTGTCAGGTGCCACCTGCAGCTCCCCAGAGGATGTCATCCCCCCAGAACTCCACCTACCAGGTTTCAGCTGTGCAGCTCCCTGAGCCCTTCCTCCCTCAGCATTAACCCTTCCTTTAGTCCCTCAAAGGAAAAGAAAACCATCCTCCATATGTTGTTCTTGTCTCTTTCCAGTGTTCACCTACGGGCCTCCTGGAACAATGGTGGAAAGAAGCTTGAGGCTTCCTTCATCATCAGCTTGCTGCATGCCTCTCTGCTGGGTCTCAGTCTCCCTGCAGTCTCAGGTGGTGAGAATAAGAAAGCATTTGTTCTGTGTTATCCCACAGGACTGTTGCAAGACAGTTTAGTCAAGTATCTTCAACAAGTATTGTTTGAGTACCTACTGTGTGCCAGATACTGTTGGTGGGCATGCTATGGGGTAAAAGAAAGCAAAGCCCCTGTTCTTGTGGATTTAGATTCTAGTTATGAGAGACAGTTAAGGAACAGACAAGTAAAGAAACAAGCAAGATAATTTAAGAAGGCGGAAGTGCTAAGGAAAAATAAAGCAGGGTGAGGGGTTATAGACTGGCTGTGGGAGGGGCTGCTTTTGGATGCAGAACAGGAAGGACTTTCTGGGGAGTAAACATTTGGGCAGAGGCCTGAGTG